ACCAAGGGTGGCGCTTCACCACCATGTACGGACTCGCGTATGGGTTGGAAAGTGCCGTGGTCAACTTCAACCGGTTCCCACAGCTTGGTGTGGCCATTGTGAGGCGGTGCCTCCTTGGTTTTGCGGCGGCATACTTCGATGATGAACTGGCTGTTGACTTTGTCCGTGACCACGATGTGTCTCAGGTGGGCCTGCAATTGACTTTCCAGTTACTGGGAGCACCGCCCCAGCCTGCGAAATCCTTTGCCCCAGGCCACAATAGACACTATTTAGGTACTTCTGTCCATGTTGGCGACTTTGTCACTGAGGGTTTGATCCGGTTCCAACCAAAGTTTTCCACGTCCACCAAAATTTTAAAGAAACTGCGCTCTGCACTGGAGACCTCCACGTTATCCCCTGATGATGCCGGCAAGCTCCGGGGTGACCTTAACTGGATGTTCTCCATGTGTGCTGGTTACACGGGTCGCATTGGTGGACCCTTGTTGGCCGCCAAACAGAAGGCAGTGTCTGCGGATTTATCTATGGAGGATTGCCTCACCTTGCGGTTGCTCGCGGCTATTGTAGCCTGTCCAGAACCGCGGGTTATCTCCATTAGGTCCAAGCCTGCAGCTCCATTAGTTATTTACTCCGACGCATCTTTTGAGAATGATACACTCCGGCTTGGCTGGGTGATCATTTGGAAGCATATGACTCCGTCAGGCGTGACTTGCACGGTCCCCCAACGAGTCATTGATAAATGGCAACCACGAACACAGCAGATATACCCTGGGGAAACCCTTTGCGGCCTGCTCGTCCCTTGGTTCCATGGTGCTCCACTCGCGGGGTACGACGTCCTTTGGTTTGTTGACAACGAGGCCGCAGTTGCCTCGCTGATCAAGGGAGGAAGCTCTCAGGCGGATGTACACACCCTTGTACAGCTGGCGCATTACCTCCTCCAAACTTTCCGCATCCGAGTGTGGTTTGAATGGATCGACAGCCATTCTAACCCCTCGGACGGCCTCAGCAGGGCTGGCCTCGATGACACGTGGACTCAGCACCAAGCTTGGCATCTTTTTGCTTTCGATTTTCCCTCTGCTCTGGAACAGGTGGCCCGTCCAGAGGACCTTTCCTCATTTCTCCCTTTATGGACAGTGGGTGTTTCTAGTGAGTGACAGTGGGTTGGATGGCAAGTTCATCTAAGATGACTTACCAAGCTAGTCTG